TCTTGCTGGATATGCCCTCCCCTCGACCACTCTTCCATGGAAACACACCAATCCTTCCAGCAACTTTCAAGTAATGACTTATTAGCCTTCAACTCAGTCGCTGACCTGAACGATACCACAACAGTCCTTCCACCTCCTTTTCTAACTGTAACTCCTTCTGGTCCTAGATCACAGACAGCTTTTTTGAAGTCTGAAAACACATAGAAACTTTTCAGCTTAACAATAAGACTATCATACAACCAACAATTCCCCACTTCAACCACATCTACAGTAGGGCCCATAGTCTCATAAACATTTCCCACCTGAACCACTTCTGCATATGACTTCCAACTCCTAAACGAGGACTCTGCTTTCGCCAGATAACTCCTCCCAACCTGTTCTGCTCTCCTATTTCCCTTTCTTCCTTTAGCAGACTGACCCATATCCCTAGCACCAGAAGTATCTTTTGCAAACTCTGCGAACTTGCCCCATAAAGCTGTGTCGTCACACCACACTCCATTAGCCTTTTGGACTGCCATCTTCGCCGCAACAGAGCAATCATAACTGACAAAGCCAAACCTTAACCTTGTTGTTTTCCTAGTCTTATTAGGGATAAACACATCTCTGACCACTCTGAACTTCTTAAGCAACTCAAACAGCCCCTTTGGATTCATTGACAAGGGAATGTTGTCCACAAAAATTGTGTAAAGACCTGGTTTGCCAGGTACATACCCTTGTTCCCGTCTCCCCCGTCCATACAGCACCGAACACCATCCCCCCACCTCCCTAGCCATCAACTTTTAATGAGAGATATTGCATAAATATAATTGTTATAAAATTGTGGGGCTCATTAACTTGGTGAGTGCTAAGTTCAATTTGAGCAAGAGATCAAAACCAAACAGTTAGCATCCCCATTATTGAAAACTAATAAAAAAAATAACATAAAATGAAGGGAAACAACACTATAAATTATGTGGTTTTGGCTACACCCTATATCAAGTAGGGTGCTCATGGATCGGTTTGATACTACATTTAGAATCAATCTAATTATGACCAGTTCCAAGGTTTTGGACTTAGAATCAAACCAATAATGCACTAGAACTAACCCAACCCAATGTTGCTCCGATTGGTTTGGGTTAGAACCAAGATTTCATACTATATTAAAAATAAGGGGTTTAGTTTAAGATCCCTTATATTAAGATACAATATTTTTATAGTAGTTGGGGTCCCTCAACATTTTTACAGAGAAATTTCAGCAAATAGAAATCCTAGCATAGAGAAATTTTGGCATAGAGAAATTTTAGTACAGAAAAATTTTAACACTTCAAAGAGAAATTTCTTTGTGCCGAGTTGAAATTTCTCTAATAATATTATTGAGAGACCTTCACTAATAAGAAAAAATATATTGAACCTCTCCTACTACCAAAAGTTGAAGAGATATGTTTCACTAATTTTTCCTAAAAATAACTGAATCAATAAATACTAAATTATTAAAATAAACAAGTCTTTAAAATTTAAATATAACATAAATAGAGAGCAAAATATCATTTAATGCAAACCAATACAAATTAAATCTAACTCAAGCTTAAATATTGGCAATACAAATTAAATCTATCAGTACAACCAATACAAATTAAATCAACTACAAAATATAACGCAAGCTTCTAATATTTCATTTGTTCACGTCACCTAATAATTCTTGTATGTAGGATTTATTAGATGCAATCATGTCCATTGTAATAGAGCTATTAAGTGAAAACATGTCAATATAAATAAAATTTTAAAATATATATATATATAGGTTCGGTTCTCGGGGTGATTCGATTTTGGCAAGGTTTAAATCAAAAAGCAATCCAATCATATCAGTTTGATGATTTGAAGACCGAGAATCAAACCAATGCACTCGAAAACCAACTCAACCCAAACCCAAAGTGGTCGGTTTGGTTCGATTCTTAGATTTACTGACTAATTTGAATGCCTCTAATATCAACGACATATGATAAATGAACTGCATGGTAAAGAAAAAAAGAAGGGTCTAGATTATTGAGAGAACAGTTGGGTTCAGTGGGCCTATTATGGGGTTGATTTTGGTGCTATGAGATGTTCACGTTTTAGAATTTATTGAGTAAAATATTTATGTAAAAAATTAAGATGGTAGTTATATGTTTGAATTACATTTGATTTAATAAAATAGATAACAAATATAATTTGAGGAATAGCCATCCATTTTGTGTAATACAAATGTGATTCGAATATATAGTTTCTGATATTCGATTATTTTAACTTTTTCATGAATATCCTACCAAAAAAATTCTTAAAAGTGAACAATTTAAATTATCAAATTAACTCCAAAATAGCCTATCAAGTCCAAACTATACTCACAGGTTGAAGAGAATCCAAACCAAAAAAAGTATGCATACATGATTAATGGACTGCATGGTAATGCTCGGTCGAAAAAGGAATGCATGTTCAAAAATCATGACAAATAAATACTAAAGTGGTGGAGGAGATCATGGGATCCATTCACCAACCCCTTCCACAGTTATCTACAAATAGAATAAAAATACATACACAAAATTTGGAATTTCGTCTAATTTTTTAAAAGATATTATCAATTAAATTAAAAGATGAATATTCATAATTTCTATATTTTAGATTTGTGATCCATATAATCTTGTAATTTTTTTTGTAATCTTTTTAGATGTGAAATGACTCATTTACCTGCTAGATTGTAGTGTTACATTTGGAAAGTTACATTGAAGTGGCACGTTTGAGAAAAGTACACTAAACTGTTTTTTTGGACTGTTATCTTGGAGTGTTATGTTTTAGTGTTTGAGTGTTCATGTGTTACGTTTGGGAAAGTACACTAAGAAGTTTTTAGTGTTGGAGTGTTACGTTGGAATATTACGTTTAGAAAAAGTACACTAAGAAATTTTTTAGTGTTGAAGTGTTACGTTTAGAAAAAATATACTAAAGAGTTTTTTTGTGTATTACGTCGTACACTAAGGAGTTTTTTAGTATGTTACATCAGAATGTTACGTTAGGAAAAAGGTATACCAAGTAGTTTTTTTTTAGAGTGTTATGTTGAAGTGACGGAAACGTGGTCTAAAAATTAAATCAAACTTTCCTAAGATAATGTTCCTCAATGAGGAAGGGTATAAATGTCTATCAAATCATACCAAAATTTAAAATAAGATCTCACGATAAGGTTGTCAAGACAAACAGAACTTATCAATGTATTAGAAAATTCATGGGACTAATTGAAGTAATTGATTCCTATGTGGGACTTTCTGATAATTTTTCCTAAATTAAATTAAGAAAATAAAAAATAAAATAAAATAAACTAGAACACAAAATTGATACAATTCATATTACAATGATCAAATTGATGTAAGAAGAAAACTATAAAAACCATAAGTATAATTTAAAGTAAAGTTAGATACCCTAAAATCTTATCCCTAAATTTACCCAAACTGATGTGGTAGGAGGTTTTTTTTTTTGGCTAGCGATGTGGTAGGAGGTTAGCTTTTAATTGATCGATTTCTAAACAAATCAACAAATAACATATAATACTTCATGTCATCGAGGTAAATTTAGAAGGGCAAATTTGATTCAAACATATAGGTGCCGATATCCGATCATCTTATTTTTTATACGAATATTATACTCTGTGAATTCTCAAAAGTGAATTGTTTGGATAATTGAAATGGGACATGTGTTGGCTCAACAATCCATTCTCTCTTGTCGACATGTGAACAAAAAAGAAGCTCAACCCAATTTAGAAATGATGTTTCAAAATATTTTAAGAATGTTTATTCATAAATCTCTTTCCATTTACTTACCATATAATCAAAATGTTTCAAGATGCTATAAGCATTTTCAGTATAATTTACTGTTAACAAATAAAGAAAGAATTTTAGTGGTTTTTGTTTTTCTAGATACAACGGAAAGTAATTTTAGTAGTTCAAAACGGGAAAGTGAGTAATGTAGATATATATATATATATATATGTGTGTGTGTGTCCTTGAATCAAGCCACATAATAATAGAATAAGATTAATGCTATATATACTAATTAGTATATCAATTGATGATATGACATAATTTAAGATATTTTTAGTATTTGTAATTTGTATAATGAGTGGAGGTCAATAATAAAGTCATAACTAGGGTTGTAATTTGCAAAGAATATACAGAAATTTTCACATGAAGGTAGGATTTACATATGTGAGACTCATGTGGGACAGACACAGGGCGGGTATTGTCACCTCCATTGTAATGCCCCCGATTGAGGTTCGTTTTGATTTTATTTTGATAATCCGAACCGTTCATATTATAGAATTTGTTGAGTATATTATTCGTATAAAAAATGAGATTAATCGGACTTGCATATCCCTATAATCGGACCATAAGTGCTTTTAAAAAAATTCTCAAAATTATGTTAATCATTTATTTTTTCTAACATAAATTTAGTGTGCTTTTTTAAAAAAATTTTTTTTATGGGTTTTAGATGTCTAATTGCCTTAATTACTTTTTCAAGGATGCTCTACTCGATAAACCTTTTTTGGATAATTCTTCTTGATAAACCCTATAATATGAACGGTGTGAATTATCAAAATAGATTGACAAAATACGTCCACGAACTCACCACACGATATTGTGCCTATAAAGACAGGTACCTTGCAAAGGTTTCATGTGGGAACCCACCCTCATGTGTGAGCTTTTGTGCATTCTGTGCATAGATTTTCGGTGTAAATAGTATTTCTATTTTGTAATTTGTGTGTTCGTAACATTTATATATTCTTAATTAGCATTTAATTATTTTTGTTAATTACCTCAAATGAGTGGCAGTTATACCAACAAATTAATTGGTCATTGCATTAAATCAAATTCATTACTTTCGTTCCCAAAATGTGAACTTGATTGATATTATGCGTTCACACTGATTAGAAAAACCACCACCCAAATGCATTATAAATAGGGTGTGTTCCTCAACATTGTAGTCCCAAGAAACATATCAAAACCAAGTTTTGTTCTTAAAGCTTTAAAAAGAGAAAAGATATGGTGATGAAGAAGACGATGGGTGGGTCAGTGTTTGCGGTAGAGTGGGTGATGGTAATTTTGGCATTGATTGCAAGCTCTGTGACTGTGAATGCAACAATTACTTGCCCAGATGCGATACTGAAAATACTTCCATGCGAACCATACCTGTTGGGCATCGGCGACATCACTGTGCCGTGCTGTCAGGGAGCTCAAAACTTGAACCAGATGGTTAATTCTACAGCAGATCGCCGGGCTGTTTGTGCGTGTTTTAAGCAAGTTGGACCTTCTTTAGGGGTAAACGTTGATAGAGCTAAGAAACTTCCCGATCTTTGCAAAATTGATCTTCGAGGAATAACCATTGACTTTACTATTGATTGCAGCACAATTCCGTACGTAACACATCTTACTCACTCTATGTTAACTATTTGTTTATCTATGTCACTAGTCTATCGTGATTTCAACAAATTAATAATGACATCAACAGAGTGGTTGCCAGCATCTTACTTTCTGTCTCATATAACCATTTTTTTTTTTTTTTTTTTTTTTTATCTTTTTGGGTCAATTTGAATTTGAATACTTTTTCACATATCAATTGAAACTCCAAAAGGGGACTAATCTTGTGTAGATGTTTGTTCTTCCTCATGAGTTGTGAAAGATGTGTTGAAAGATTACTTTTCGTCCCATACAACCAAATTTATTTTTATTTTTTTTGTCAATTTGAATTTGAATACATTTTTATATGTCACTTGAAACTTTCAATAGCGGTTAATACTGTGTAGATATTCGTTTGTCCTCCTGAGTTGTGAAAGACGTGTAGAAAGATTTACACAATATTAGTCCTTTTCTGCTTTGTTCCTTTTTCTCATGTTACTTACTGTGGAAGGATACCTAGATTTTGTCTTATGTTAAAGATTTTTCTTGTTCCTATGCAGAGTTTAATGGATGGGTGAGGAAGGATGCATCTGACAAGGACAAACCTTGGCCAGTAACAACAAAGATAATGCTTAGTTTTTTTTTTTTTTGAAATAACAAAGATAATGCTTAGTTGTTATGTTTTAATTAGGCCAATTTGAAATTTCTTTGTATATGAATAAATTTGTTATCTTTTCTGAAGATTTCCTTCCCTTCATTTTTCCTTTTTCCTTACCAACATTTGCGCCAAAGAAATTGTGGTACCATTGTGTAGAGGAAAAACTTCTCCACAGATTAGTTGATACAACATACCTTTCAATGTCGGATTCGGAAAATTTTGGTTCAGATACATAGTTTCTTGGAATGCTTGCTGTTCGGATACACACCAATTTACCAATAAGATACATATCATTGGACTAAACCTGATTCCGAAGGAAATATTGTTTAGCTTTAAACTAAAACTGTATTTGTATTTTATTTTTATTTATTTATTTATTTTGTGTTTTTTGAAAACTTCTAGTTCGGATACAAGCCAATTTATTACATATCATCAGACCAAACTAGACGAGTTATTAGTGTTTTGAAGGATATATTGTTTTGATTTCAAACCCGTGTTTTTCTATTTTTCATTTTCATGTTTTTCTTTTTTTAGTGAAAATTTTCATATTTAAATCAATTTTTTTTTAAAAAAAACAAAAAAATAGGGTACTCGAACCATAGGTCTAATTTCAAAATAGCCCCAAACTCTATTTTTTTGGGACGAAAAGGACGATAATAATTTGAAAGACTATATTATTTTTACCCATCTATCTATTTGTTTACTATCCACTTATCTGTTCATGTCACCTATCTATTGTCCTGCCCTTTATTTGCAAAATCCAAACCCATGAAAAAAGATATGAACACAACCAGAAAGAGGGTACAAAATAATTAAAAGAGGATCTGAACGAGAATGGTATACTCAATAAGTGATATTGCTATAAAATTAGTATAACCAATACAAATTAAATCAACTACAAAATCTAACGCAAGCTTCTAATACTTCATTCGTTCACGTCACCTAATAATTCTTGTATGTGGGATTTATTAGATGCAATCATGTCCATTGTAATAGACCTATTAAGTGAAAAAATGTCAATATAAATAAAATTTTAATTGCAGTGGTTGAGTTTGAAGTGAGGGGCTCTTGAGTGTTACAGTGTTTGGGGGGTGTACCTGGGGAGTGTTTCAGAGTTTTTTTCTTTTTCTCTTGTTTAGGTGGGGGCTCAAGAATATGGTTTATTTTATTTTATTGTTGCATTTTAAAATATAAAATCGTAAGGCTAAGGGGTTGTAAGATCGTGAGTAGCAGTAGTAGGAGAGTGAGGTTTACTCTTCGAATCTCTCTCATTGCGTTTTATTTCCTTGTACCTGTAAATTTCATATTTTTAATGGAATTTTTCTTTGCCGATCAAAAAATAAATAAATAAAATTTTAATATATATATATAGGTTCGGTTCTAGGGGTGATTCGGTTTAGACAAGGTTTAAATCAATAAGCAATCCAATCATATCAGTATGATGATTTGAAGACTGAAAATCAAACCAATGCACTCGAAAACCAACACAACCCAAACCCAAAGTAGTCAGTTTAGTTCGATTCTTCAATTTACTGACTAATTTGAAGGCCTCTAATATCAACAACATATGATAAATGAACGGCATGGTAAAGAAAAAAAAGAAGGGTATAGATTATTGAGAGAACAATTGAGTTCAATCACTACAAGAATTTATACATTTGCCGACCACTTTTGCCGACCAAAAAAATTTTTGGTCTCAAAAAAATGACATTTGCCAACCAAAATATTAATTAGTCACGAATGATCAATATTTTTGGCGACCAAAATGAGTTAGTCGCAGAAGGTTACATTTTGGCGACCAAAAATGAGTTAGTCGCAGAAATTGGTATGCTTTTGGCGACCAACTTCAAATTTGGTTGCGGAAGGTTACATTTTGGCGACAAAAAAAATTTAGTCGCCAAATTTGTACTTTTAGCAACTAATATTTTAGTCGCCGTTGATTAAGCTTTAGCGACTAAAAAAATTTGTTGCCGAAGGTATCTTTTTTGCGACTAATATGGTGTTTTGGTCGCCAAAAGTGTTTGGGAGGGAAATTTCAAACAGGGAGGGGGGAAATGAAATTTTTTGCCGACAAAAAAAATTTGGTCGCCAAAGTAAAAACGACGTCGTTTTGTACCTGGAAAACAAAATAAAAAAATAAAAAAATGCCCTGATCTCCTCTGTCTCCAACTCTCCCTCTCTCTGTGTTCTCTCTCTCAATCGACTTGCAACTGCTCAAGAATTGCGGCCAATTCCAGTCCAGAATCCAACATTTCCTCCTCAATCTTCTCTCTCGTCTCCTGATCCGCGGCCCTGGCTAGACGAGTACACCACACAATCTTCAATTAGTTCTGCAACAAACACTTAACAAGGCTGAAATTACCGAATTGGAGATGACCCAAAAGCTTGGTCTCAACTTTAAGATCATCATCATCAAAACCATTCTGTTCTTCTTCCTCGTCAACCACAACAGTAAAACCCACATTATCATCAATCATAACATTGTGGGATTAAACTTGGAAATCAGTGATTAGGTTCCCAAAGGAAACCATCTGATCGAAATCATGATTCGACATAGGGTTCAACAATTTCTCAATCTCCTCCCTCTTGTTGGGGTTATTGTTCTTCAAAACACCCAAAACCTCATCAGCGGCGGCGACGACTGTTCCGGGAGGCTTACCACCGCCCAATTGCTGCTGTACGAGGCTAAGCATGGCCTCATAGGGAACCCTAGTTTTCTTCGTCTTGGTCTTGTGAAAAAAGGCCCAAATTTGATTCTACTGATTATGGCTCTGCAATAATACCATGGGTTTCCTAGTCTTTTCCTTCTAAATTCTACCATGCGTGTATGCTATCATGGTTCTCGGACCCTTGGTTCTCTTGTTTCTTTCTACGATGATGTTACTGGTAAGGCCTTACCCTGGAACTTTTCTGGTCATTGTTTAAAGGAAACTCACTTGAAGATCTTACATTTTTTTTTCTGAATATGTTGATTTCATTTATCCATAAGAACTTGTAGTATTTTGTTCTTTGCATTATTTGTATCAAATTACTGAAGAAATTTCTCAAGCGATATCTAATGAAAACAAGGTCACTTTTTTAGGCCTTAAGACTGAGCCATTGAATGGAACATACTTGGAAAGAATTGGACAGTCATCTGATGATGGAAAAAACAACCACCCCGAGCAGGAAAGTTGCCCATTCTCATGGGCTAGATCTCCAAATTACATATACACCCCTCCAGGTTTGGTTAAATTACAGATACCCCCCGTTTTCATTATAAATATTTCGAAGAGAATAATATTTTCCCATTTTTTATTTGAGTGAAAATTATCTTCGGTGTAGCATGGGTTACACCTGATGTGAAATTTTTTTATGTACTTTCCATGCTAAACTTTCACAACTCTGATAGAGTTAGGGGTTCATTTATATATATTTATACGCTTAATTACAACTCATTAAGTGGTATAACATTTTTTAGCATTTTTGTAATTAGCAATGTTACATTGAAAATTTGTGCATAGAATATACAGAAATTTTCACATGAAGGTAGGATTCACCTATGTGAGGCTCATGTGGGACAGGCACAGTGCGGGTATTGTCATAGCACCTCCGTTGTAAAGCCCCTGATTGAGGTTCGTTTCGATTTTATTTTGATGATCCGAACCGTTCATATTATATGATTTGTTGAGTATATTATTCATATAAAAAATGAGATTAATCGGACATGCATGTCCCTATAATCGGACCATAATTGCTTTTAAAAAAATTATAAAATTTATGTTAATCATTTATTTTTTTAACACAAATTTATTGTTTTTTTTAATTTTTTTTAATTTTTAATTTTTATTTTTATGGGTTTTAGATGTTTAACTGCCTTGATTTTTTTTCAAGGACGCTCAACTCGATAAACTTTTTTTGGGTATTTCTTCCCGATAAATCCTATAATATGAACGGTCGGATTATTAACAGATTGACAAAATACCTCCATGAACTCATAACACCATATTGTGCCTATAAAGATAGGTACCTTGCAAAGGTTTCATGTGGGAACCCACCCTCATGTGCGAGCTTTTGTGTATTATATGCATAGATTTTCTGTGTAAATAGTATTTCAATTTTGTAATTTGTGTGTTCCTAACATTTATATATTCTTAATTAGCATTTAATGCTAGCATTTAATTATTTTTGTTAATTAGCTCAAATGATTGGCAGTTATACCAACAAATTAACGGGTCATTGCATTAAATCAAATTCATTACTTTCGTTCCAAAAATGTGAACTTCATTGATATTATGCGTTCACACTGATTAGAAAAACCACCACCCAAATGTATTATAAATGGGGTGTGTTCCTCAACATTGTAGTCCCAAGAAACATATCAAAACCAAGCCTTGTTCTTAAAGCTTTTGAAAAAGGAAACGATATGGGCGGGTTAGTGTGTGCAACAATCACCTGCCAAGATGCGATAGTGAAAATACTTTCATGCAAACAATACCTGTTGGGCAACAGCGACATCACTGTGACGTGCTGTCAGGGAGCTCAAAACCTGAACCAGATGGCTAATTCTACAGCAGATCGCTGGGCTGTTTGTGCGTGTTTTAAACAAGTTGGACCATCTTTAGGGGTTAACGTTGATAGAGCTAAGAAATTTCCCGATCTTTGCAAAATTCATCTTCGCGGAATAACCATTGGCTTTACTATTGATTGCAGCACAATTCTGTACATTTTTTTTTTTTTGATCAGCGAAAAAGAAGAAGCTTTATTGATGGAAAAATATACTGAGTATGAAAACATATATCAATAAGGAGGAGGGTGCAAAAAGCATCATAGTAAAACATTAAGATCCCAACTAGGTTGGTACCTGGATGCACACCAAATCATCTACTAGCACAAACTCCAAGTTCCCAGTTAGTGAGTAACCAACATGAGGAGCAAAGACGAAAACAAAACAAACAAATCATTAATTCATAATCAAACAAACAGCATCCCGGCCTAACATAACCATAACACACCCCTTGAAGACCAACAGATCATAAAGCTGCTATTTCAGCAAAGCACAGAAACAGATTCATGAAGCTGGCTGGCATTAGTAGCAGAACAGATTAGCAAAACAAACAGATCATTCATTCATAAACAAACAATCACAGCAGCCCT